GGTAACAGGTTACTTTCTTCACAGTATTCATCACTAATTAATCAATCTATCTCCAAGTAGAAAATAAAGTTTTTAAGAAAGAGAATCTTGTTTTTTGTCCTTAGTACCCACACATAAGGCATACTGTTAACTTCTACTAAATATTTCCTAAATGAGTGAATGTTTTTCTCAGGACCAATGAAAGTAGTTTTCTAAAAAAAAAAATGAGCTGAGCTATCTGCAGCCTGAACTCACGCCACGGGGTATAACGCAAAACCTATTATTTGTCAGGGAATATGCTAAAATGCTTATTCACATTAAATTATTACTTTGGTCATCAAACTCTTTTATGAAAAAAAATCAAGATGTGTGTATAACTTGTAATTTAAAATTTTAATCTGTCCGTTAATGTGCACAAACAATCCCACAGTGATATACAGTCCGGGGTCTCAGAGGCCGACAGCGACGGGTAACACCTGTGTAAGTACGCACAAATCGTGCAAAAGGAAAGCAGAGAATAAGCTTCTCTGCAGGGAATGTATGAAAATGAAGCACTGGGAACTGAAGTACTGAAGCCCTGTGTACTGTTATTGAGTTTGCTACATCCCATCTGAAGCGCCCCACGCCTGATCTCAGTCGGCAGAGGTAGACCCACACATACGCAAGGCCACACATATCTACAAATTTTGATTGGCCAAAAAATACCTTTTATATGTCAAATATGTTTTTAAAATACACAGGTTTCACAGATAATAGTTCCTGAAACATCCTGAAAATATGCTTCTGCACAAAGCCCCCAAAGAGTGATTTTACAAGGATCTCAAAAGCAGAGTAAAGAAATATCAATATATGTTAAATACCTAGGTGGCAAAGTGGCTACTCCTGTAGCCAATGACCGATGACCCAAGTAAAATCACAGTGTACACATAGTACAATCCCGAATGTATTACAGTTCCTACTCCACCCTAAGAACACAGGGGAGCAGGCTTACCTGTCGTCTCGGATGTGGTAGAAAAACCCGTACCCATCGTGTACCATGGGAACCACGACTCCCTGGATTCGTAAGTAACCAACCAGACTGGTGGAGAGAACAAAGTTCCCGCCTCCTCCACTGTGTGGCACAAAGAAAAGATGTCAGTTAGCTGGAGGTGCTGCACTCCTTCTCATACCCAGGGAGAACCAGGATGTGCACACGATGGCCCACCGCCCCAAGTTACCTTCTGGAGAAAAGAGGATCCTCAAATAGCTCTGGAACAGGGAGGCCTTCCTCTTTTGCTACAAGCAAAAGACCTAGAAGGTGACGGTCAAATCCTGCAATAAAATCCCAAACCTGAAGTCAGAAAAAAAGCTTCCAATAAAAGAATTTTCAAACAGAATAATTCAAGCTTACGTACCTTTTCCATTTGAACAATCTTTCATCATCTTATTATGCTTTGCAAAAGCTTGTAACATCTTTTGCTGCCGTTCAAGAAGCTGTGTCAAGAATAAGAACAGTAATTTTCAATACAAATCAATAAATCAAATCAATAACAAACTGTGTAACTCAAATAAACAGCAGCAAAAGAAGACTAATATCACCAGTGTTAGAATCTGGGTCAAGGGAAAAGATTCGGAGGCAGAACTGCGATGCATGCTCCCATCTTTCCTTAATTCTACTGCCTTTCTTTCCCCCATAAAACCTTGATTTTTTTATTTTCTTCTTTCCTGAATTTGGAAAGAGAAGTACTGAAAATTGCTTTGAGACACTTGTAATATTAATAAATGAACAAAAAGTGGAATTTTAAAACTAAAAATATAATTTCTATGAAAACTAACATAATTATGTCTCTTCAGATTAAAACAGGCAAAATTTCAGATTAACAGGGAAAGAAACATACTGCTGTCTAAATACTTTAAAAAGATTCAAAATAAAATACATACAACCAGTTCTGGTCCTAGTGACTTCAAACAAAAACTAGACATTCAACCACATGACAAAAAGCCTCCTTCTGAAGGTCTTTGGAGAGCTCTGCATTGTACTGACACTGTCAGATTAACAGTGCCGAAAAATGTATAGCTTAGAAAATGATACAAATGAGCTTCTTTTCAAATCTGCTGCCTAGTGTTCCTGGCATACTTCAGTGGCAAATTAACACTTTTTGCACACTTTAGGGATAATGTCTTAAAGTGTTTTAATGACCCAGGGGAATAGAAGCAAAGAAGTCATTGAAAGAGCAATCCTGTTGCGTTTTTTCTTTCCAATACTCACACTGGTAGAGGGATCCTGCATGGACTGGCACCACCTGACGGCCTCCACTGTACAGGAGCGTACGGTCTCTGTTCGGCCATGGTAAAAGTATCTTGTCATAGCTGTTTCATAGCAGCAACCAGGGCTAAAATATAGAGTACCAGAAAAAAATGTTCTGATGTTATTACAAATATAGTCGTCACACACTAATGTGACTTTCTGATCAGACTAAGCCTACATGTCGGTCTGGAACTGAGAGTTTCCACAGAGGCTGTTTTCAAAACCAAAGAGCAAGAAAACAGTCTGATAACACAGGCTATTTTCAAAGGCTCGGCTGCTTTCAGATGATATCAGGCATGCTTCCTAGTCTGACAGGCATTCTCGGAGAAGCTCCCTGTGGCCTGTGCCTCTGGCTATTCATGCTTTGGTACATTCTAAACATGTGTTGGAGTTAGTGACTTCCACTTAACTCAGGGACTATAGGAAAAGCAAAGGGCTGTTAGGTCACAAAGAAGGTCTCCTTTCTACTTCCTTGTTCTGCAAAGGCCAATTACCATGGTGGGAACTGCCCTACAGAGTGGGTTAGGCAGTTAAAAACTGAAAACATTTCTCGAGACAGCACTTAGGGAGTAGCTGAGTTTTGCTAGTAATTTTGTAAATGGTCATGGATGTAGATCCGACAGATGGAGAGCTGACTGATGAACACGTAGCCCTGGATAATACTCCAACCACAAGCTCATGAGACATACACCAGCTAAACTGTGTTGTGTTTTACTCACCTATGGGGACAATGATACAATGAATGCTTGTGTCCTAAGTCATTATGGTTTTGGTAATTTATTACACAGAATACATACAGAGTTCTTAGCTGTTGAACGATGAACACTGAGTAGTTCCCCAGAAAAACAGCTGTTTCTCCAACTGATGAATGACATAGTTTTAGATACAAAGTGCTCTTATTTTGCTGGAAGTTAGTGATAGTCAGTGAGGATCAAGTTTGGTGCGAGTGGGATGTCTGGGACTCAATGGCACAAAGATAAATCTCTTTAAAAAAAGAGCGGAGAGGAGTAAGAGTGAATATGATCAAGATACACTGTTTACAAATGCAAAATTGTCAAATAATCAATAAAACGTGTTTTATTTTTAAAAAAAAGTAAGCCAGGTGGTGGTGGCACACGCTTTTAATCCCAGCATGCAGGAGGCAGAGGCAGGCCAATCCCTGTTGAGTTCCAGGCCAGCCTGGGTTACAGAATGAGTTCCAGGACAGGCGCCAAACTACAGAGAAACTTGTTTCGAAAAAAACAAAACAAAACAAAAAAACCAAACCAACCAACCAAACAAACCCCAAAACACAAAGTCGTTGGATGCTCCAACTTACGCCTATAATCTCAGCTACTAAGAAGACTTGAGGCTGAAGGATCACTTTAATCTAAGAGCTTGAGATCAGCTGTGGTGATATTTTATTTTTATGTTAATAAATAAAGTTTGCCTGAAGATCAGAGGACATAGATAACCATAACAAAAGTCAGGCAGTGGTAGCAAACACCCTTAATCCAATCACATGACAAGCAGAGTCTCTGTGTGTTCAAGGCCACACTAGGGAACAACCAAGCGTGGTGACACACACCTTTAATCCCAGTACCAACCATAGAGACCTGGAGGTCTGTACAGACAGGCAGTGACAAAGAAGTGAGGTAGATGGGCTAAGAGCCAATGAGAGGGCAAAACAGCAAGGCAAGAAAAGCCTGGGTAGACAGGAAGTAACTCTCTCTTGGGAAGCTACAGCAGCGTGGTGAGCTAAGGTTAGCTGGTGGCTATTCCTATTTCTCTGATCTCTATGGCTTTCACCCCTATATTTGGCTCAGTGTTCCTTATTTAATAAGACTGTTTAGAAATTTGTCTACAATCAGCCTGGATAACAAAGCAAGACTTTGTCAAAAAGAAAAAAAAGGAGAGAGGAGGATGAAAAAAAAAAAAAAAGAGGCAGTTACAGTGTCATCAATGTGTAACCTGTAATTGAGGGATCTTGGTAAAAATTATCAAAGGAATATAAAAATATTCAGGAAGCTAGGCATGGCATGCCTGAAGTCCTAATACTCTGGAGGTGAAAGCAACACTAGACACATGTAACACAGTGAGATCCCATTCAGAAAGTCAATAAAAACAGATTCAGGAAGGAATGAATGGGGGGGGTGGGTGACAAGTGACTGAAATAGGTCAACAGCATTAACAAATTAATTGACTGTCATAAAAACAGTAACAACAAAAGAAACGATTCTCATCCAGGTTCTGGTTTTTCCTACTCATTTACAGAAAATGCAGGAGAAAGCACCACGCTTGAGAACACTGGGGATTCAAAAAACTAGGCACACTACACAGAATGACCCAGTTTCTTCGTAAATAAAATGCAATAGGAGGAAGACAGCGAAAGGAATTCTAGGAATTCTTATGCTTAAAGATTTACAGACATATCAACCAAGTGCAACATGTGAAGCTCACACAAACATTCCGGCCGGCATTTCCAATGCTGCTGTAAGGACGTGGTGTGCGGGAAGGCCGTCTTACATAAGCCAGATATTAAGAAAAGCTGGATTTTTATTTTTTTAAAACAGGCTGCTCAAGGCTTTGCAAAGTTGTCAAAAAACAAACAAAAAAAAAAAAAAAAAAAAACAAAAAAAAAAAAAAAAAAAAAAAAAAAAAAAACCACCCAGGACTTACAGGCCTCAAGATGTGGAGAGAAGATAAAAATAGTTTGTTAGGCCAGGCAGAGGTGGCTCACACCTTTAATCCCAGCACTCGGGAGGTAGAGGCAGGGGAATCTCTGTGAGTTCAAGGCCAGCCTGGTCTACAGAATGAGATTCAGAACAGGCACCAAAACTACACAGAGAAACCCTGTCTTGAAAAACCAAAAAAAAAAAAAAAAGTTTGTTAAACAAGCTGTTCAATGCTGCTTTCCTCTGCCCAAGGAATTCGCTATTTCTGAAGGTTCATCAACAGGAAGATTGAGAGTGAACAGAAACTAGACAGCTTTCAACACTGTCACTGGCAGGTAAAACAAGCCCAGCATTCAGGGCTACAGAGAGTCAGGACAGGGCAGCCAAGACCACGAACAGGCCCACGCACTCATCTCAGTCAGTACGAAAAAGCACTTGACAAAAGTCTTCACTCACTCACAATTAAAACACAACAAACCAGGAACAGTCGGCCAGTTCCTCAGCATCATAAGGGCATCTATAAAACCCCAGCTAACACAAAGAAGAGAGAATGTCTACTTCTCCACCTCCATCCACACCACAGCACCATGAGAAGGAAAGGAAAGCACCCAAGGTGGAAAGGAAAATACCACTTGTTGCAGAGATCAGCTGACTTCAGATTTAGAAAGCGGGGTCTTCCACAGTGCCGGGAAACTCGACAGCCACTGGGAAAGGCATGAAATTGGACCCGTGAGTTAATGTCATATATTATCTTCCTTGGAAGAACACATGCCAGAGAATGAGGGTGTTTCCAGCTGACATAAGCATTTGTAACAGTGGATTACATGGTAATCAAGTTTGCCCTCACCATGTGGGTGGACATCATCTAACCTATTGAGAGACTGAAGAGAAAAAACAGAGTCAGAGGACAGGAAAACCAGTCACCAGATGAGTTGGAGCATGTATCTTTTCCTACCCTCGGAAACTGGAGCTTCTGGTCCTTGGGCCTTCAGAACTGGACTGGGACCCAGACCCCATGTCTTTTGATCCTTCTCAAGAATCTGTACTCAACTGGATCACAGCACCAACCTGCTGTTCCTCCAGTTTGCAGAGTACAACATGGGACTTCACTGCCTCTGTAACCACAGAAGCCAATTTCCCTAACAAGCTTCATCCCTTAAATAACCCCAACCACACGGACATACACAAAATAGGTTGATTCTACAAAGAATCCTAACGTAGACTCTTTCCTTACATGATATTTAAAAATGATCTTAAAATGATCACAGATCTACAGTAAGAACTAAGAATTATAAAAATCTTAGAAAAATACTGGAAAATCTTTACTGCTTTGGATTTGGTTGGTTTCATTGATAAGCAACAAAAGGAAAAGAAAATACATTGGATCTCATCAAAATGTAACTGTGTGGGTCAAAGGATACTGTAAAGAGAGCAAATGACATGCCACAGAACGGGAGCTAACATTTGCAAGCCATTAATGTGCACACAATTTCACATGGTAAAGCGTGATCCTTCAAATGTACCAAGGCACCATGACAAAGAGCCAATGGGAAAACCTACACACTGTCACAGACCAGACTCTAAGAAACTGATGGACCCCAAAGAAAGAAAGGTGAGGGAATCCACCATGGAGTTGGGTAGTAATGGCCCTGTAAAGGCCATACGCTGGGAAGTCAAGCCATGAAAAAGGAGAACAAACGGTTACCGTCCGTGAAGTCTGTAGTAGGCGAGCTGAAGTGCGAGCTGAATAAAGGTGTCAGGATGTAGGGCCTCCTTCTTGGTGAGCTTTTTGCCAAAAGCTGTAAAAGCACGTGCTGTGATCTGGAGATCCGACGCCTAACAAAGTTAAATGGGAGCAGAGAAACATCACTGGAAAGGAGAGGCTCAAAGGGGATCAAATCATTACCTGCATTAATCATCAGACATGAAGAGTTAAAGGCATTAAGGCTATAATTTTAAAATATTTTATGAAGCCATGCTTGGGTAATAGCCACATTTCCAGATATGGCAGCTAAAGAGGAAACATTACTAATCTAAAAGAAAAACTAAAAACCTACCCCTTTGAGGTGCTGGGCTTTGGCTTGGTAGATGTCACTTAGTATTTTCTCATCCACAGTGAAAGCCAGCTCCTCAGGAAGTGGTATTTCCCGGACTTTTTCTGAACCCTGAAAATAGAGAACTTTAAAATACCCGTGAAAACGTGAGCAGGAAAGCTGATGGGCTTGTTCTGACATACCTTCCATCTTCCTTCCGTCTCTAAGACTCTCTCATCAACATAATGGGCAATATTCACCATAACCATTGCATCGTAAGGAGCATGCTAAAATGAAAATAAAAGATTTTGAGTAGTTTGTGTCCAATTAAAATTTGACCCAGTATTTTTTACTTTCTTCACTTTTAATGGATAAGATATGCCCACCTTCCAGTACCTGACTTCCTAATGATGAAATGATACAATTCTTTCCTGCACAATAAGAACTGCTTATTTTTCAAGACAAGGAAAAAATGAACAAGCGTTCAAAACTGAAAGCACACAGTAGGCTCTTAGAGTTTGGGCTATGTAACAGTAAACAATCCAGAGGTTACTGGGAGTCCGAGCAGGTGCACCCTGAGTCATGTGAAAGTATTCTGAAATTATAAACAACAGTGTAGTAGTCAGGTGAGGACACCAGATTAAGGCAATTGGGATGGCCATGAGCATCTCTAGCTAAGAGAGGACCACTAAGTAAGTGCTAGAAAGCAGTGCCACCATTACAGATCTACAAGAATGCCTAGGCAGTGCAGAAAGAACTTGCCATGTTAAGCAATGTGGGAAAGATGGGCTGCAGTACTTTTATCACCTACTTATCAACAATCTACCTACTTCTGGAATAACAGCTACTTCACTGTTCTCTAGGCAACCACCATATCCCTGGGTGTTAAGTTGAAGGAGGCTGAGTCTACCCATGTGGCCTAAGCCAGGCTAACGAGGGCACACTTGATTCCCAAGGACATGTGCTTCACACAAGCCAATAATAACCAATGAGAAGGATTCCAGGACCTTTTCTGGAGCTATTAGAACAAGCTGTCTATTTCCACAGGTGTCAATCAGCTAAGGGAGCTGCAGCGACCCTACAGCTGCAAACACAATAACCACCTGGGCAGTCTGAAAGCAGCTCCGACCGCAGAAACAGGAAATACCTTTATAATGACAGCATCTGGACACTCTGTCTGCATTGTCCATATTTAAGAATATAACTATGCCAACATCTTTTTAAACTAATTCCAGATTAAATTGTATCAAAGGAAAGTGAATGATTAATAAAACCATTGACAAGATTAGGGCTGTAGCTCAGCGTAGATTGCTTGCCTGACATGCACACAAAACCCTCTGTTCAACCTTCACACCCGAGACAAAGCCCACTGCAGGCCTGAGGCTCGCTCGGGGTCTTTGTTCGGTTTCGTTTCCTTGGTTTACAGATTTCCCCAAAGGAAGACAGAGCTGGTCAAATCCATGGGAAAAGATGAAGGAGAAACAAGGAAAGCAGTTGTTTTTTAGAATGGTAAAATGGTAGCCATTTCTAGACATTTTACTGTTCAGAGTCTAGTGTCCCAAAGAGCCTATCGTTTTAGGAAATAGTTACGTAGTCCTTTCCCTAACCATAGAGCATCTATATAATATCAGACGGTATCTTTCAAATTAGGGTGTGAATTTTTTTTTTTAAAGATTTATTTATTTATTATGTATACAGCATGTATGACTGCAGGCCAGAAGAGGGCAGGCCAGATCTAATCACAGATGGCTGTGAGCCACCATGTGGTTGCTGGGAATTGAACTCAGGACCTCTGGAAGAACAGCCAGTGCTCTTAACCTCTGAGCCATCTCTCCAGCCCCTAGGGTGTGAATTTTAACAAGAAAATGTTTTCAACTTTTTTCACTACTTTCTAAAAATATTTATTTCTTTTTCTTTTGAGATTATAATATTATTACGCCAATTCCCCCTTCCAAACCCTCCCATATCCCCCTCCCCACTCTCTTTGAAATTTATAGCCTCTTTTTTCATGATGGTTGTTATATGCATATGTCCATATATGTATGTGTGTGTGTGTGTGTGTGTGTGTGTGTGTGTGTGTGTGTGTGTGTATTTCTAAATATAACCTGTTCTGCCTGTGTAATGCTACTTGTATAAACATATATTTTCAGGGATGACCATTTGGTACTAGACAATCAACTGGTGTGCTCTTCCCTGGGGAGAGCTATTTGATAACAACAGGTTTTAAGATATTACACTGCAAAAAAAAATTATATTCAAAACCCTTTTTGCATGCTCCAAACTGTTAGCCTACAGCAGAAAAAAAGAACTTGATCTATGTTCTGCTTTCACTGACAGTTCTGACCTAAACCTTTTATTATGGCATAAAACTAAAAAAAGTGTTTACTTACACTACACCACAAGTATTTGTAGTTTACTACCCTCAAATTAACTTAAGAAATTAAAGTGGGAGGGCTAGCACCCTGGTAACAATGTACTCACATCACAACAACAGCCAAATACTCCATTAGCAAAGGAAATCAAATTATAGGACTTGTCACCCCAGCGTACTGCTGGATCTCCAGCAAGAAGCATTTCGAAGACCTAAAACACATTTAATTTTCCAAATTAAAAGTGTTTTGACATTAGTTTGCAAGTAGACTTAAGAATATATATCATTTCACTTTTTATTCTTAAGTCAACCAAATTTAATAAAATGGCAGTTTTGTTAAAATTCAACAGATAATAACTCTGGGTCTGGCTTTAGGTACTTTTTAAATCTCAAGTTATGAAAATCTAACCAGAAAAATAGAATGCTAATACATTATTCATTGATGTTCCCAGAACATTCACATAATTAAAAGCAGAAGTGTTTTGAAACTTGGGTAGTATAAGAAGCCTAGTAAGTTCAGAGTAAGATGTCTTAACAAGTCATATGCCACTAAGACAACTGTTTTCAAACTGTAGACTCTGCACACTAATGAGTCATGAAACAATTTATAGCAGCATAAATAATATTCCTTACAGACAATAAAACAGAATAAAAATAGCAGAGTACATAACAGACATAAAAGTAATCATTGTTTTATGAAACTTTAATTAAATGTGTGTGTGTGTGTGTGTGTGTGTGTGTGTGTGTGTGTGTGTGTGTGTGTGTATTTAGCTACAGTGGGCTACAATCTGCATTTCCAAGTGCAGACTATGGTTAGAACAACACTGAATTATCCCTTAAATAGTACTTCAGCAATTTCCTCCTCTCAGAAATAAAAACTGGTTTCTTACTACAAAATTTTAATCCTGGATTTGTCCCCTACAATTTAACACTGATGACTATATTATGAAATGACAAATTCTTCCAAAAGACTTTATTAATATGGTTGACTATGCTTCCTAGGAATTTTGTAAAAGCCTTACCCAGGGTTGGGAAATAAAAAATATAAACAAGCCACATTTACCCTTAAACTCACTTAAACAGTCAGTGTGTTCAGTAAAACTGAATGATATAATCAATTCCTTGCAAGAGTGATATAATTCTTAGGATAGAACCCACCCCAATTGGTTCATGTACACTGGTGTGGGTTACAGGTAGAGTCATACATCACCTTTGGAAAGAGAAGTTAATTTGCCTCAGTGTTCCACGCAAATATTTTATGTAATCAATTGATGGAAAAGGTTAGAAAACACTGATATGCATGTAAATAGCCATACTTCTTTAAACAAGATTCAAAATACATCCAAACAGACTTAAACATCAAGTATTTACAGAGTTCTATTCAATATGTATGAGATTCAATTTAATACATAATGTAGTTTATAGCTGAGAAAATTTCTAAGACCCTGATTAAAGAAAAAAAAAAAAACCAAAAAAACTCATGTTCAACAGATAATAAAAATCCTGCAGAAAACGGTGTCGAAAGGTAACAGAACAAGAAAATTACCTGAGAAAAATCTTCTGGAGTTACATGTGGACTGGTGTCTTCTATGGAATACACAAATAAACTCGTTTGAATTTTTTCTAATAAAGTCAAGTTCTTTGGATCAAGACCAATCAGATATTCTCTAGCCTAAAGGGCAAAGAGATGACTGGATATTACAATTTAAATACAACACATCTAGAAAATA